TATCCCTACTAGCACCTTTTAATACTCACTTAATGTTCCCCACCTTGTGAAGCCCTGGACAATGGTCCTACCAGGCATAATCTCTTCCTATCTGATTCAATAACTCAATGTTTTCTATATGTTTGTATTGCAAGTAATATGACTGCTGTATTTTCTTGATGTTAGCCCCATGTGAGCAAATACCTGTCATATACGGATTTGCTTTTCCTTTCTGCGAACCCTGCAAAAACGTTTAAATAAAGAATTCATTAAAAAAAGAAGGATCCCAACAATATTGTCAGCATCCACCCTGGGTAACTGACAGCTGACTTTGCTTCTCTGCATGTGACTGAGAGCAAAAGCCAGCAACCCCCGTCCTATCCCCTGTCTGTAGTTCCAGCCAGAGCTTGAGAAGCAGATAAGGGAGGCGGGAATTGCTGTGGGGGAGAGCTGACTAATCAGCAGTCATGTGATCAATCAGCTCTCAGCCTTAGAGTCAGCAAAGGAGAGCAGGTGGTGGTAGCAATAGCAAAGAAAAAAGAAGGTTAGAAAAGTAAAATAAATTAAAAAAGTACCAAAAATATATATATATTTTTTTTAAAGATTCCCAGCCTTGTGCACATGCATGTTTGCAACTATTTACTTGAAAACATGCGCCGGGCACACCTATGTATGAAAATTACAATTGCACCATACTGTACATGTTGGGTATCGCTGCACATGCCAGATTAAGAGCAATAGTTCCAGGGCCAATTATGGTTAACTCTAAAATGATAACTTATAAAAGCTTTTAAAGAATCACCTATGGACAATTTTTTCACAGGTGCACACAATTTTGACATGCTTGGTATCTATTTACTCAGCACAGCCACATATTTTATATAAAGGGTATTATATTATGTGTATGTGCACTAAAAATAGTGTACATTATATTTTTTACAGAATATGTGGGTTCAATAAACAGTTGTAAATATATTGTGTGACATAAAAAATTATTACTGACACCATTTTAGTCTACAGGCTCTCTACTTCCAGAAGCTACATAACTCTTCAGGCCTAAAATCTGCATTTTAACAAGTGCAAAAAAATTAGCAAAAATGCTATTGACAGCAAAAGTGTTAAAGGGGACCTGTGATGAGAGAAATATGGAGACTAGCATTACTGGTCTCCTTCTGAAGACACTAGTTTCCTGGCTGTCCCAGTGATCCCATGCATTCTAAATTTGTGACGTGAAAAGGTACAGAGATCAGGAAAGTCAGAGTGAACACTTGATCTGCATATTCGTTCTAGGTCAGCGATTGAGAATTTTTCAAAGCCAGAGGGGGACCCAAGACATCAAGGCAACTAACATTCTGTATAGAAAATCAGCAGTGGAAGTCTCAATATTTTTCTCATGACAGGTATCCAGTTATGGGAATCTGTCACAAAGCAAAATACCTGTTTTTCAGAAGCCTCTGATGCAAGCTAATGACTTATGAGTTTTTCTGGTGTTGGTTTCCACCGGGTGTCCTGCATTCCTCCCCTAAACCTAAAAACACACTGGATGTTTTTCCACGTCAAATTTGCCCAAATGTGTGAATCTTTATGAATTCTGGAAACCGTTATAGGACCCAAAAACTGTAAAAAAGCAGCTTCTGTGACATTCTTTCCTCCCCCCCCCCCCTCCTTGCTATCTTCGGATTAGCGGATATCCCTACTAGCACCTTTTAATACTCACTTAATGTTCCCCACCTTGTGAAGCCCTGGACAATGGTCCTACCAGGCATAATCTCTTCCTATCTGATTCAATAACTCAATGTTTTCTATATGTTTGTATTGCAAGTAATATGACTGCTGTATTTTCTTGATGTTAGCCCCATGTGAGCAAATACCTGTCATATACGGATTTGCTTTTCCTTTCTGCGAACCCTGCAAAAACGTTTAAATAAAGAATTCATTAAAAAAAGAAGGATCCCAACAATATTGTCAGCATCCACCCTGGGTAACTGACAGCTGACTTTGCTTCTCTGCATGTGACTGAGAGCAAAAGCCAGCAACCCCCGTCCTATCCCCTGTCTGTAGTTCCAGCCAGAGCTTGAGAAGCAGATAGGGGAGGCGGGAATTGCTGTGGGGGAGAGCTGACTAATCAGCAGTCATGTGATCAATCAGCTCTCAGCCTTAGAGTCAGCAAAGGAGAGCAGGTGGTGGTAGCAATAGCAAAGAAAAAAGAAGGTTAGAAAAGTAAAATAAATTAAAAAAGTACCAAAAATATATATATATTTTTTTTAAAGATTCCCAGCCTTGTGCACATGCATGTTTGCAACTATTTACTTGAAAACATGCGCCGGGCACACCTATGTATGAAAATTACAATTGCACCATACTGTACATGTTGGGTATCGCTGCACATGCCAGATTAAGAGCAATAGTTCCAGGGCCAATTATGGTTAACTCTAAAATGATAACTTATAAAAGCTTTTAAAGAATCACCTATGGACAATTTTTTCACAGGTGCACACAATTTTGACATGCTTGGTATCTATTTACTCAGCACAGCCACATATTTTATATAAAGGGTATTATATTATGTGTATGTGCACTAAAAATAGTGTACATTATATTTTTTACAGAATATGTGGGTTCAATAAACAGTTGTAAATATATTGTGTGACATAAAAAATTATTACTGACACCATTTTAGTCTACAGGCTCTCTACTTCCAGAAGCTACATAACTCTTCAGGCCTAAAATCTGCATTTTAACAAGTGCAAAAAAATTAGCAAAAATGCTATTGACAGCAAAAGTGTTAAAGGGGACCTGTGATGAGAGAAATATGGAGACTAGCATTACTGGTCTCCTTCTGAAGACACTAGTTTCCTGGCTGTCCCAGTGATCCCATGCATTCTAAATTTGTGACGTGAAAAGGTACAGAGATCAGGAAAGTCAGAGTGAACACTTGATCTGCATATTCGTTCTAGGTCAGCGATTGAGAATTTTTCAAAGCCAGAGGGGGACCCAAGACATCAAGGCAACTAACATTCTGTATAGAAAATCAGCAGTGGAAGTCTCAATATTTTTCTCATGACAGGTATCCAGTTATGGGAATCTGTCACAAAGCAAAATACCTGTTTTTCAGAAGCCTCTGATGCAAGCTAATGACTTATGAGTTTTTCTGGTGTTGGTTTCCACCGGGTGTCCTGCATTCCTCCCCTAAACCTAAAAACACACTGGATGTTTTTCCACGTCAAATTTGCCCAAATGTGTGAATCTTTATGAATTCTGGAAACCGTTATAGGACCCAAAAACTGTAAAAAAGCAGCTTCTGTGACATGTATAATTAGATGCTTTTGAGACAGATCATTTACTCTGTGACCTTTAGGAATATATTATGGGCAGACACTTCCAGTTTACACTCTTTGTTGATACATCCCTGCAAAACTGCCAATGTGAATTATTTCCTGTCATTCTAACCTTCCGGACAGGAAGAGGGAGGTAGGGGAACTTTGCCCAGTAGAGTAAGACAGAGCATGCTGCCAGCACACCATCTTCTGCATAAAGATTCTTACATTTAATCAGTGTGTAGTTGCTGGAGTCACAAATCAATACTATGTTTCAGAACTATAGTGGGTCCTGACAATGTGACTTTACCCAGTAAAAACACACAGAGGAATAACCATGGCAGAGATTTTACTCCTTCTTTACCCTATGCCAAACTAAAAAAAATGTGCTTTAAATCTTGTGAAAATAACTATTCTTGGTTTTCAGCAGTGAACTATATTGTCTTTATTTGT